GGCGGTGCCCTGAGCCGCCGCGGACCCGCCCCTGGCGCCCGCGGCGGTGCCCTGAGCCGCCGCGGACCCGCCCCTGGCGCCCGCGATGGTGCCCTAAGCCGCCGCGGACCCGCCCCTGGCGCCCGCGACGGCGCCTCTACCTCACCCCGTGCCTGCACCCACTGCAACCGCCCCTGCCCTACAGCGCGCCGACCCTCTGTAGCCGCTCTGCGGCTTTATCCCCCCCCCCCCCCCTCCTTCGTCTCCCTGCAGCCGTGGGGGGGAGGGTCTGGGGGTGGTGGTTGTGGAGATGATGGGTGGTGTGTTTCCCTTCCCCTCCTCCTCCTTCCGTTCCCACTGCATTAGCTGCCGCTAGGGGGAAAGGGGGTGAGGGTGTGGGGGAGCCAGGGGAGTGGCATTGGGGTGGCGGGTGTGAGACCAACCAGCCCCCGTCCCTCGTGGGGGGGGGGGGGGGGGGAGGAGAGTGAAGGGGTGGCAGGAGTGCCTGCCCCTTTGCTGCTGTACCTGCTCTGTTACCTTGTCTGTTGTTGCTGCTTTCTCTGCACTTGGTGTACCTCTGCAGGAGGTGTACTGCACACGGTTCTAGCTGAAGGCATTTAGGGGGTGTGTTGAATTGTATTCGTATACATTTATAAATTCCTACAGTAGAGTTTAGTGTAGTTATATAGTTTCCTGCTTGGTGGTGCACCATTTGCCCATTTCCTTGACTATATCTTGTATGCCTTCTATTATTGAACCCCTCTTTTGGCCATCCCCTTATCCTTCTCGTAACTAAGTCAATGCTCCAAGGCTAGGGTTTTTCCTAGCCTAGGAAGCTTCTAATCTCAACACTGTCTCCTCGGTGCGAGCCGCTGTGTGTGTTGGGATGAAGTGTCCCATTTTGGAAAATTTGTCGATGACGACTAGAATGGCAACGTAACCAGCTTTGGTAGGTAGTAACCCGGTGATGAAGTCCAGGCAAACTAATTGCCAAGGCTCTTCAGGGAGTGGAAGAGGCTGGAATAACCCGGCTTTCTTCTGTTTACTGCTCTTCATCCGTTGGAATGTGTTGCACGAGGTGACAAAATTTTGTACGTCATCCGCCACGTGGGGCCAATAATAATGCTTTGCAATACCGGTAAGCGTCTTGTTGCTACCGAAGTGGCTTGCATAGAGAACGTCACGATATTCTTCGAGTAGTAGTTGGCGTAATGGAGGGTAGTTAGGTATCCACATATTTGTGGATCCCTTGCAGTATGCGATATCTTGATCCCAATGCAGAAGATGGCGCTTTTCTACTAGGAAGACTTCGGAGTCGATGGTGTATCCATGCGTGAAGAGTCCCTTCAGGAGCGGGTTCATGCCATCGACTTGTAGAGCGGCAAAGTGTGCAGGGCGACTAAGTGTGTCTGCCTTGTTCTTGTGCCCCGGCTTATACACGGTATGGCAGGATAAGGACAGGTGCGGACACGGGTGCAGTTTTCAGCTGTTCCACGACTTCCTGGTGCTTCGCCTCCCACTGGAATGGTCTATTCTTCTTCAAAAGGATGGTCAGTGGTGCGGCGATCTTGGCATAGTTTGGTACGAACCGGTTGTAGTAGTTAGCGAATCCGAGGAACTGCTGTAACTCCTTCACGTTCTCAGGGGTCTTCCACGTTCGAACTGCTTTGATCTTCTTTGGATCCACATGAACTCCTTGAGCGCTCACCATATGTCCAAGGAACTGGACTTTCTTCATTGCAAACTTGCTCTTGGAGAGTTTCACGTAGAATCGTTCTCGTCGAAGAACTTCGAAGACGCATCACAGATGCTCAACGTGCTGCTTCATGTCTTTCGAGTAGATCAAGATGTCGTCCAAATATACCACCACGCACTCGTTCAGAATGGGCCGAAGGATATGTTCATTTCCATCTAAAACGTGGCTGGTGCATTGGTGAGTCCGAACGGCCGCACGAGATACTCGTACGACCCATACCGAGTTCGGAAGGTGGTTTTATGAAGAGTTGTCCGCTATTTGAATCTGCCAGTGTCCCGATCTAAGGTCGAGCTTGGAGAATACCGTAGCACCGTGGAGTTGATCGAGTAAGTCGTCGATCCGTGGTATTGGGTATTTATTTTTTATAGTCTGCTTGTTCAAGGCTTGGTAGTCGATGCACATTCGCAGACTTCCATCCGGCTTCGGAGTGAAGAGAACTAGAGCTCCGTACGGCGAAGTCGAAGGTCAAATCAGCCCTTTCTCCAAGATATACTCTATTTGTTTTTTCATATCGGCAAGCTCTGATGGGCTCAGCCGGTATGGTGCTCGGAACGTCGACTTGGACCCTAGCTCTTCTATGATCTCATGTTGGTGTGTCCTGTATGGCGGTAGTTGATTTGGTAGATCGTCGGGGAGAACGTCCTGTAACTCTTCAAGAATTTTCATAATTGCTGGCGGAAGTTCCGAGGTCTGCTTTTCCTCCGTCGCTTGCTTCACTGACTATCGCCATAAATTCCGCTGTGGACCGTTTGACGTCTTTTTCAAAGTGTGCGAGTGTCTCCGCTGAAACATTTTCCGTGTCGTCCCATTTGGGAAGGCTGATTTTCCTTCCGTTGTTATTGATGTTGGCCGTCCAGTTAACCCAGTTGATCTTGGGGTTGAATTTTTATAGAAAGTCTCTCCCAAAGATCACGTCGAGTCCTTTAATATTTGTGACGGGGAGAGCAGGCTTCCATCGCAGGGGTCCAATCTGTAGTAGTAACCGTGTTTCCCCGTAGATTGGTAGCTTACTGCCGTCCACCATCGTTGCCAAGAAGCTTGAGGACTTGATTTCACCTTCGAGTCGATCGATTGCCTTTTTGTCATAGACGCTGTGCGACGCCCCGCTGTCCACGAGTGCTTGGAGGCGCTGTTCGTTACAGATCACATCAAGCAGGAGTGGTGAGCGTTGCTCGGAGTACCCAAAAATAGTTTCATTAATAGGATCGTAGGGTACATCCCAATATTCAGTACACACCGTGGTTCTATTGCTTGCTCCTGAACTAACATCTGGCCTGGGCTGCGTGGAGAAAGGCTCCTCTCCAACGCCAGGAGTAGATGTAGTAGCCGTAGTGGTTGACCCGAGGGGGTGGATCCGGTTGGCATATGCGATCCACTGGATGCATCCTGGAGGGGTTTTTGGAGTTTTCGCAGCTTCATTTCAACTCCCAGCTGCCTCCTCAGCTGCTTCAGCTCCATAGACTTCTTCCATGGGGAGTGGAGAGTCGTCTTGGGCCGGTTCCGGGAGAGGACGTTGACGCCGTGGATTTGCCTGCTCCTTTCCACACTACTTAACGTTTCCCCTGCTCCGTAGGCACATGTACCACTTCTTTAATTATCTGCTTCATCTGGAGTTCTTCCGGGATTTTTTTATGGCTCCGGACCTCCAAAAATCACCAGTCTTCAATAAAACATCTTTGAAAGATAACTTTAACTATTTATGTATGTTTCCGGGGTCAAATTGGAGAGTTTCCATCTTGGTCGAGTCTCTTTTCGCGGAGGTTTTCTTTTCCTTGGCGAATCCTTCTGACAAATCTCAGTCAAGGGGCTTAGGATTTCGCCCAATGCTGTTTGCCGATTTCGATTTGGTCAAGATTGCGCTGACGCTTTCGGATCTTCTTTTCCTCACCAGCACGATCCGCAAACACTGGCGAGATCCGTTTTTTTTACCTTTGTCTTTTGTTTCGCCACTCCCTCGAGCACGGAAGGTCGCACGTGCATATTTCACGTGAAAACAGTCGCCAAGTCGATGTTCTACACCTGGTCCGCGGTAAATTCACCGCGTGAATGTTTTTTTTCCAGCCCCCCTTTGTGCGTTTCTGTCTAATTCGACGGTCACTCAAAGACTACGGGGCTACAAGTGAACAGCCAGGAATCATTTATGTCTAGCGCGTCTGGTACTTAGTGATTGCGATAAGGGCGGGATTGGTTTTTGTCAAACATATATCATATAGCTTGTCTAGGCTATAGTGGGGTAGACACTATGGGGTACAGTTTCCTTGGGTTTCCTACTTGTACCCAACCTTGTGCTAGTTCATCCATTCCTCATTTCTTCACATGGTATAGAGAAGGTTCCCTAGTGGGAACGCTTCCTTGGGCCCAACACTGAAACGTTTTTCTGACCAGGAGCGTCAGACGCTCCTGCCCGAGGCGCGCCTTGTCGCCGCCCCTACGCGGCCCCGTCGCCGCCCCTAGCGGCCCTGTCGCCGCCTCTCTCCCAACGCGGCCCCGGCGCCGCCCCTAGCGGCCCCGTCGCCGCCCCTACGCGGCCCCGTCGCCGCCCCTAGCGGCCCCGTCGCCGCCTCTCTACCTATGCGGCCCCGTCGCCGCCCCTACGCGGCCCCGTTGCCGCCCCTAGCGGCCCCGTCGCCGCCTCTACCGGCCCCGTCGCCGCTCCCCTCCCTACGCAGCCCCGTCGCCGCCACTACGCGGCCTCGTCGCCGCCCCTACGCGGCCCCGTTGCCGCCCCTACGCGGCCCCGTAGCCGCCCCTAGCGGCCCCGTCGCCGCTCCCCTCCCTACACGGCCACGTCGCCGCCCCTACCCGGCCCCGTCGCCGCTCCTACGCGGCCCCGTAGCCGCCCCTAGAGGCCCCGTTGCCGCACCCCTCCCTACGCGGCCCCGTCGCCGCCCCTAGCGGCCCCATCGCCGCCTCTGCCGGCCCCGCCGCCGCCTCTACCGGCCCCGTCGCCGCCTCTACCGAGCCGCCCAGCAGCTGAGCCGCCCAACAGCCGAGCCGCCGAGCCGCCCAGCAGCCGAGCCGCCAAGCCACCCAACAACCAAGCCGCCGAGCCGCCCGATACCCGAGCCGCCCAGCAACCAAGCCGCCGAGCCGCCCAGCAGTCGAGCCGCCGAGCCACCGAGCCGCCCAGCAGCCGAGCCGCCGAGCCGCCCAGCAGCCGAGCCACCGAGCCGCCCTGCCGTCGATCCGCTATTGTTCCTACCGGCGCGCCCCAGCCCTACTTCTTCGGACTGGTGGGATCACTCCCTGCTAGGCCTCTGCAGACATGGCTACCCCCAGTGTCCTTACCTTTGATGATGAGGGTCGTGCTGTTGACTTTGGGTCAGGGTCGATGACCTCCAGCTGTTCCTACAGTGCGACAGGGCAAACAGACTCTCCCTGTTCGATCTCACCTCTGGTGCCTCTCCTGCCCCGCCTGCTACTGCTGACAGCACTGTTCGCTCACAGTGGGCCACACGCGATGCTGCTGCCCGTCTTGCTGTGCGTCGCCACTTACCGACCACTGAGCGTGCGCACTTTAGCCAGTACAAGAGTGCTAAGACCTTGTACGACTTTGTAGTTGCACGCTACTCTTCCCAAGCCACTACTACGCTGAGCCGCCTCATGCTACCGTACCTCTTCCCTGACCTTGCTGCCTTTCCCACTGTCGCTGACCTCATTACGCACCTTCACACTAGTGACACTTGCTACCGCGCTGCGCTTCTTGCTGAGTTCTGTGCCAAGAATCCCCCCCCCATGTACATCACCCTCTACTACATAGTCACCCGGCTCCCTGACTCCCTTCGCTTAGTCAGGGACCACTTCCTCTCAGTTTGACCCACCACACTCACCGTTGACCTCCTCGAGGAGCGCCTCCTAGCAGCAGAGAAGAGCATAGTCACTGTAGGAGCCTCTCGTGGTGACCCTCGCACCCCCGTCTTTAAGGGGTGTTCCCCTTCCCCCTTCTTTCCCTCTGTTGCTTCTGTTGCTGCGGCCGACCTCGTTGGTTTCGAGTCGGTCGGCACTGCGTCTACCCCTAGCGGGAGACAACACACTGGCAAGGGCAAGGGGGGCAAGGGCGCTGGAGGGGCTGCCGAGGGCGGTGGAGGTGGTGGTGGAGGCAGTGGAGGGGGTGGGGGTGGTGGCGGGAGTGGTGGCGGGGGTGGAGGTGTCGGTGGCAGCAGTGGAGGCGGAGGAGGCGGCGGCGGTGGCGGAGGGAGCGGAGGCGGCGGAGGTGGCGGAGGTGGCGGAGGTGGCGGAGGCGGCGGAGGTGGCTGAGGAGGCGACGGCAGCGGTGGAGCTGGTCACGGCTCTGCGCAGAGGAGTGGGTCCGGTGTTGGTCTGCGCCAGCAGAAGCAGCGCAGTCGTGAGACCCTGTCCCCTCAGCAGCTTCGTAAGTGGTATGCTGCGCGTCAGCGCGGTGGGGAAACTGGTCCCTGCACCTACGTCCTACGTACTGGCAACCACGCTAGTGAGCAGTGCGGGGGCCCGCACTCCACCCAGCGCTGCTTCGACCGCCTGACGGACGCGTGGCATCACCAGTTCCCTGACGCCACTGAGATCCCTTGCTGGGGTGAGCTGTCTAGGGCGGGGGTTGCTATCTTTGATCTTGATTATGATGCTATTCTTGCTGCCATGTTTGCTGTATGTGATAGTGTTAAGGGTGACTGTTACCTGTGTGTTCCGCCTGACCCGGGCATTGAGGCTGCTGCTCTAGGTGCTGGTGAGGCTGCTGCTCTAGGTGCTAGTGCGTCTGCTACCCCAAGTGCTGGTGAGTCTGCTCTCTCAGGTACTACGTCGGCTCAGGCCCTTCACACCTTCACCCTTGACTCGGGTGCTTCCCGCTCCTTCTTTCGAGACCGCACCACGCTTACGCTGCTTAGTCGGCCGGTTGCAGTCTCCCTGGCGGACCCCTCGAGGGGTCTTGTCCTGTTGATCAGGTAGCTGCGTCGAGTTAGGTGTTTGCTACAGCGTCCAGGTCTGGTCGTGAGTCTGCTCCCTGCTCGTGTCGTCTCCTGTCCCACCAGACGCTCCTTTGGCACCACCGCCTTGGTCACCCCTCCCTGCCTCGTCTCCGAGGCATGGCCTCCCGTGTCCTTGTCTCTGGTCTCCCTTGGTCTCTCCCTCCCCTACCTCCGGGGCCTGCCCCTACCTGCGTCCCCTGCGTCGAGGGGCGACAGCGCGCCGCCCCTCACTCCTCCGAGTTTCCTCCGACAGAGGCTCCGTTGCAGACTCTTCACATGGACGTGTGGGGCCCCGCCCGCGTCCGTGGCCAGGGTCACGAGCGTTACTTCCTGTTGGTGGTTGACGACTACTCGCGTTACACCACAGTCTTCCCCTTGCACAGCAAGGGCAACTTCACTGAGGTGTTGATCGACTGGATCCGCGCAGCTTGTCTCCAGCTCAGAGAGAGTTTCGGCTCGGACTTTCCTGTCCTGCGTCTGCACTCTGACAGAGGCAGGGAGTTTTCCTCTGCCCGTCTGGGAGCCTTCCGTCGAGCACAGGGCATCTGCCAGACCTTCACGCTTCCGGCCTCTCCACAGCAAAATGGGATTGCTGAGCGCCGCATTGGCATGGTCATGGACGTCGCTCGTACGTCCATGATCCATGCGGCTGCCCCCCATTTTCTGTAGCCGTTGGCGGTTCTGTACGCAGCGCATCAGCTCAACCTTCAGCCCCGGATCTCCTTGCCAGAGACCTCCCCCACCTTGCGGTGGACGGGGAAGGTTGGCGATGTGTCTGCGTTTCGGGTCTGGGGATCTCGGGCGTTTGTCCGCGACTTGTCTGCGGACAAGCTGTCCCCTTGTGTTGTTCCCTGCGTCTTCCTTGGCTTCCCCCCTGACGCGCCTGGGTGGCAGTTTTACCACCCCACCTCGCGCCGTGTTCTCTCCTCCCAGGACGTCACCTTTGACGAGTCGGTGCCTTACTACCGTCTCTTCCCCTACCGCACTGCGCCCCTCCCCCCGCCGCCGCTCTTCCTTGCGCCAGGTCCTCCCCCAGTAGACCCCCTCCCCCCTCAGGGTCCTGCCCCGTCAGGTGTGTCCCAGGTAGACGCGGAGATGCCGGAGGCCGCGGAGCTGAAAGGCGCGTGGATGAAGCGATCGTTTGACGCATACATGCTCATGGTGCAAGCGGTTGGCGGGCGACAACTTGACCACATCAAGGACCTCTTGGGTGATCCAGAGTGTGGCCCCAAGGCTTGGAGGAAGCTTCTGGATGTGCACTCACTGACACATGCTACCGGCATCGTGCTACTCGCGCGGCGGCTGCGCGACATCAAGTTTGTTGATGGAGAGCCGATGCAACCGGTGTTGGATGAGATGCGGGACATCTTTACGAAGCTCCAAGGAGGCGGTGTGGTGTACCCGGAGCTCGTGCAATGCGTGGAGATTGTGATACGGCTGCCGGAGTCGTGGTCTGCCCTAGCGATCAACCTCAACTCCCAACAACCCCAATGGAGCGTGGATTACATTCGCGCGCGCATCCTAGAGGAGGACTTGCGGCGGCGGAGTGTGGAGTGCTCGGAGGAGGGGGCTGGCTATGGAGTTCGAGGTGGAAAGAGTGGCTTCAAGAAGAAGTGGAAGGGCAAAAACAAGGACAACCCTAAAGAGGATGGCGGCGGGGGTCAAGGGGAGGTGTGCTTCTACTGCAAGAAGCGCGGACATCATTGGCGGAAGTGCTACCAACGACCCAAGGATTGGACCCCGCCTTCATCGAGCAACCTGCATGGTGGCAAGAGGAGTGGGGGAGTCATGGGAGCTAGTGGAGAGGAGAAGGAGGAGGAGAAAGGCGGCAAATCTGAGGAGCGGAAGGCCGGGTTCTTCTTTTTCGTGAACGAAGGCGCAACCGGCCTCGCTATGGCTGCCAAGGTTCTCCTACACCCCCTCACCCATTGGGTGATTGACTCGGGAAGCTCCTGGTGTCAACGGGAGTTGTGTATTGGCCCCGTCCTCGCTTGGGCGGAGCCGACCTAGTGGTCGGGTGTGAGGTGAGCAGCCGACCTCTAGCAGTGGGTGAGCTGGTCGACAAGGAGGTCGACCTGCACGGGGGACCACTGCACGGGCGCCAACTACAGGGTGGTGCCGACTTCGGGGAGGTCGACTTGGGAGTCGACCTGCAGAAGACGTCGAAGCCGACTTAGGCGGTCGGCTAACGGACCGCTGGTCGACTAGACCTGGTGGTCGACGAAGGAGGGACCGATGTCGACCGTTACGCAAGACGCCGAGCAGTCGGGCATCGAGTAGCGGGGCGTCAACTTCGTGACGCGCTTCGGGCGGCCGACGTGGGTGGTCGGCCGACTGTGCTGGTCGACGTGGAGCTGGTCGACCAGAGGGGACGTCGACCTGTGCTGGTCGACGTGGAGGTGGTCGTCGACTTGGGAGGTCGACGGGCACGTACGGGAGCTGCTGGTCGACGTGGTTGCCTGGTCGACCAGGTTACCTGGGTGACGAAGTGCTGCGGAGGAGTGCGACGGTCGCCCAGGCGAAGTTGGCGAGCCCGACCTCGGTGGTGGTATCCCGAGGTCGTCGTGGCGGATCAGAGGCAGTCGTCAGCTCGAGGTTGACGTGGTGTGTGAGCTGTGCAGGTGATAAGACTCTGCGCGCCAATCATCTGCACACAACTGCGAAGCAGGGTGCACTGCTGTCCTGCATGAGCAACGCTGTCACGCCGTCAACCTGCGACGTTGGCACGCCGTCGACCTTGCCTTGCTGGAGCGCGGTCGACGAAGTCGTGCTGGAACGCGGTCGACCAAGCTGCGCTGGCAGTTGGCCGACCTGAATGCTTGCTCTGATGTAGTCTTGCATTGCCAACTTCATTGTACCAATTGTTCTGAACTTTTCCTAGTGAAACTCTTGCCAATTTCCCCGTGAACTAGCAAGTAGTGTGTACACAAGGAAAACGACTAAGGAACAGAGAACGCAGAGATCACACGAGCACACGTGCCTAGCCCGTAGCCTAGCTCCCGTTGCTGCAGTTATCCCCGCATGGTGCGGTGAGCGTGGACGGCACACGACTTACCTTTCAGTCAGGTCGACGTAGACACCACTTACCTATTTCGTAGTTACAGGCCGGCAACTGTGCGGTAGTCACTATGGTAGGAGCCGTAGGTGACGCGGGGGTGGTGGACACCCTGGAGGCACGGTTGGAGAACGCGAGGAGGAAGCATGAGGCCAACGAGTATGGCGACTTGCCCTGGGCGGTCGTCGAGGCTGGACTCCGCTCCACGTGGGCGACGGAGCACCCGTCTCGACCTGCCTCTCCTCGTCCGGTGAACAACGAAGGCGGCGTCGACGTGGGCGTCAACTCCGGTGGTGGTCAAGTCGGCAGCAGCGCTGGAGGCACGTCGAGGCAAAGAGGTGTGATACACGCCGGTGAAGTCGGCGGCGTTCAGACGCGAGGGATGCAGTCTTCGGCGGCTGCAGGCTCCTCGCATGGCGACGCTGGTGGTCGTCGAAGTGGGCTGTCGCCGATGTCGGCGACCCAGGTGACGGCGGGCGGGATTGCGCCGAGCTACGGCTACTTCAAGTTTACGCCGGACAGGATCTCAGTCACCCCTCCGCTGGTCGGTCGACCCGACATTCTCACCTGGAAGGAAGCCATCGAGCCCCAGCTGGAGATGGCCGGGCTGATCGGCTTCGCCCGAGGAACCGTGGCGACGCCGGGGGAGCACCACCCCGACTTGCGGGCGGAGTTTCGCGCCGTGCAACTGTTGACCTTCACGGTCATCTCGCGGTGCTGCTCGCCGGGCGTGCAGATCGCCTTGAAGTGGTGCCGGGAGTACATCGACGCCGGCCACCGGGCGTAGCACTTCATTGAGTCGACGTACCAGGTCACCGACGACCTGTTCATCGCCCAGCTGGAGGGACAGTTGACGCACCTGCGCATGGGTGACGAGGAGACAGCGACCGACTACTGCAACCGGGCCCGGCGAATTCTCGCCACCATTGGGATGGCCGGCGCGCAGTACTCCACGGCGTCGTACATCACCCATGTCATGCAAGGTCTCTCTAGCAGCTACAACCTTCTGAAGCGGCTGTCCATGGCGCCGAGCACGAGGGCGACGCTCAACGAGGACAACCTGACCTCGTATATCTTGCAGGACGAGGCGATGCAGGAGGCAGAGCGGTCGCAGGAGCTCTTGGCGCAGGCGAACTTGGTCACCTCGGCGAAGCAAGAAGGCCGACCGGGACAGCGCGGGCAGTCTGGTGGTGGTGGCAGCTGTGGCTGGAAGCCGGCCAAGGAGGTCGACAAGAGGAAGTCGACCAAGGACAGCGGTCGTGGAGGAGGAGGTCGACGTCGGGAATGATGGCTGTGCGGCGATCCCGACCATCTCTCCTTCAAGTGCCCCGACCGCAGCGACTCCGACGACGACGACGCTAAGGGAGGCCGTGGGAGGTCTGGCAGCCGTCGTCCTCGTCGTGGAGGAAACCAGCCGCGCAAGGAGAAGCAGTCGACCAAGACATCGACTTCGGCGAAGGACGCCGACTCCTCTGCTGGCGGCAAAGGGCGAGACGACAAGACGGCGTCGTGCTCGCTGGTCGGCGTCGTGGAGCCGACCATCTCTCTGGCGCCAGAGGCCGGAGAGGACTTCCAGGCGGTGGCGGCAGCTGTGCAGGCAAACCCGGCGGTGGTCCTGCTCGACAGCGGTTGCTCCCACCACCTGATGGGGACGAAGGAAGCCTTCGTCGACCTGCAGCCGAGCGGCGCCATCAGGCATGTGCGCGGCTTCAACGGGGCGCTGCAGGATGTCCAGGGCTGCGGCACCATCGCCCTGCAAGGAGAGGCCGGGAAGGAGGTGCTCATCCCCGACGTGCTGTACGTCCCGGGTGTGCGAGCCAACCTGCTGTCGGCCGGCCAGCTGAAGGAGCATGGCGTGAAGCTGCAGGAGGACGGAGACGGCATGCTGCTCGTCTCGGCAGCAGGGGAGGTGCTCGGGCGGGCGA